GGAATTCGTGTAATTTTGGATTAAAAATACACTTTTGAATGCTTAAAAACCGCAATGTGTTAATTGAACGCATTGCGCCCTCCTACCTAAAAACACATCGTGTCTTGTTGGATCGCTGGGCATCCTTTTAGATAATGCGCTCCTTATTAGATTGGGCCCGACTTCGTCTTGGGCCTTTAATTTATTTGTTTTGGGTCAAAATTTTCTCGTTTTTGTTATGTTTACCTCCTCCTTAACTTCATGAGAGTTGTTGAACTCCTTACTTTTTAGTCAGATTATTTATTATTCGACAAATTTGTTAATTCACACCAAATAATAGATAAAATGATCAAATTAATAAGTAAATCACTTTTAATAAGTTTTTTTTACATTAACCTTGCATACAAGCAATATTAACCTAAAAATAATAAAAATATATAATAAAGTCTAAGAATATAATAAAAATAATACCAAATACCTTATATTTCAACAATGACATAATACATTCAAGCTCTATCCTCTTCATAAATTGATTAAAAAGGATTGACATATAACATGTTAGTTGCAGAGGCCCACATGCTTACTCCATGATTTATACTATACTATGCTAACCCTTTATTCTATGAACAAACTAATTATTTAGATGCTAATTGTTACATTATAGTAGAGAAATATTTCATAATAGTTTAATGAAGTGATTACAAAACTATTAATTTATACACCTTTGAAGAAATTACATACCAAGCTTTGTCTCATTGAGATATTTCACCCTGATTGAGAGAGGGTGTAAAAGGAAGTTAGTAAATGATTAAAATTGATTTTTTTTTAATCAAAATATCATTTTCAACTTTATTCTCAAATTAGTCTAATTTTTAAACTAATTTTTAATGTACCTACGTTTCAAACAAATTAATTTATTAGTATAGACAAACGTCAGTTGCATTAGAGTCCAAAGCATTATATTTTAGTTTCTTGCATGTCTTCCTTTGAAAATTAATTTTTTACAGAACTTGTTGTAGATTTTAACAAAAATTCATATTTTTAAAATTGAAGCGAAAGCTAAATATAAGTAAAAAGGATACAATAATGTCACCCATAAAAAGTAGAGTGGACGTCAGTATAATTGGCATCTTTTCTATAAAAAAGATTAATTTGGTTGAAATATGGTTAGGTTGAAAATGATTTTAAAAATTAAGATAATTTAAGAATAAAGTTGGAAATCTAGAGTATTTTGATAAATAAATTCAATTTAGAAAAAAACAAAAAATCCTTTTTAGATATATTAAATAACTATGTAGACTTTTTGTTTTTGATATATTTTTTTTTAGGATTTCTTAACATATCCTATGTATTTTTTAGACATGCAGATTTTTTATAATGACTTTGGTTTTTAAATATATATTTTCGGACGCGCTATGATTTAATTAAACATTAAGATATTTTGAAGATATATCTTCGGACGTATCAAAGCTCAATTGAATGTTAAAATATTTCGGAGATATATCTCCGGAACAATTTGAAACATATTATCGCGTCAGACTCTTCTCCTCCCACATTTTTTCATTTCCATTCACAAACCTCTTCATCTCTCTCATTTCCAAATTTCTCAAACTTCACCAAATTTGATTTCTTCTGTCCGAGGCTCAAGTAATCATCAAGTTGCATCCAGTGCATATCATTCAACATCTTCCGAATCATATAATCTGGATAAGTTTTTCGAGTTTCTGATAAATATTTGAGTTTTGTTGTAAACGAGTTAGAATTTATTGCTAGGTGTCGAAATGTTTAGAAATTAGATAAAACATAGTTTAAAGTAACTGCATGTATTGTTTGATGGCTCAAATGGACGATCAGGGCTTCAAGTTTGTCATTCTGAGGGGCAAAGAACGTCATTCTGAGGGGCAAAGAACGTCATTGACGCGACCTCTGAGTTGCAGAATGTTTCGGAGATACATCTCCGGAAACATTCAACGTCTCATGTACTTTGGGTGATTTGGAGATGCATTTGCAGAATGATTCTGGAGATACTGATCCAGTGAAGGCGCTAAGGGAGGTGGATAGGACCAGAGGTGCTCATGTTAGGTTTTCGTTCTTGAAGGAGAGATTTGATTAGGTGCTCGTTACTGCAGCGCGGGCTGATGGTGATACCTAGGAGGTGGTCATACACATGACTCATGCTTTGAGGTGTTATTTTCTATTTTTATTTGGCACTGTGCTTTTTGTGGACATGAGTATCACCTACACTTACGTTTCACATCCGTACATGGTCCCGACTGCTCTAGGAGATCCGCCGATACCAGATCATCAGGAGATTCTTGAGGAGTAGCAGGCTTAGTTGGATCATACTGAGGATGTCTTGCCTCGTTGTCATCGCATATTGAAGATGGCGCGTGCAGACATTGACGAGCCCTGAGGGGTCTGCTGTCAAACGAGTACTGGATGACATTATTGTGGAGTCACATAGGGCACTTTTGTACCGCAGCCATCACGCAAGGACAGGGGGATCGATGGCCAAGGAGGCACAGGAGACAGAGGAGAGGTTGCCAGGCACACCTAGTAGTTGTCTGTATTTATTTTGTTTTAGTACTATAGTTTGTACGTTTTTCCTGACATTGTTACTACATTTTGGATTTACGTGACGTATGACATCCTATTACTATATTGTTATGTTATTTTGATTTGACTGTTATTTTATCATTCATCTGCAAACAAATACACAATGCGTTTTTAAAAAAAAATTTGTTCTGATACACTTCAGAGATATATCTCCGGAAACTTCCTATAGATGCATATTTGAAAAAATTCAAATGGAAATGGTCTATGGGAGATATGTTGTGACCGTTTAAGGTTTAAATTGTTTTGGAAATATATCTTCGGAATATTATTAAGCCATGGGTCGCGTCCAGAAATATATCTCCAAAATTTAAGGACATTTGTAGAAAACCACACGGTGGGAAAGAAACCCATGAAATGTCTTAAAAAATTCTCAAATTTTATTTTTATGAATAGTGCAAGACTCCTTAATTTAAGAATGACAAATCGGTATGTTCACTTCAAAAAAGCACGTAAAAAACGGGTCGGAGCAAGACGAATATTAGATAAAACACGTACTTAAAACCTTGATACATAAAAAAAAAAAATATGAGCGTAGAATTAACCGGTTAACACTACATATTTTTAATTTAAAAATTAAAAAAAAAATTATTAATACTTGCGTTCACAAAAATCCATAAAAAAATTAGATAAAACATGGCAAAGATATTAAGCTGTGTTGATCTAAAATTAATGAACTCTAAAAATATATATATAAAAGCATCTTTAGTGCAGGTTCTGTAGTATTAAATTCTGTAATAGTAATGGTAGTTATAAGCAATTTGCATTGGAATAAGAATGACATGACAGTAAGTGAATTAACAATTAGTGAGAGTAAACTATATAACCAACGCACACTATTCATTCTCAATGACTCTTATTATTATTTTATTATTGTTTTATATTATTAAAATATCAATAAAGCTCCAACAACTATAAAATATGGGATCAAGTTTTGGTTTTTTACAAACAACCATCATTAAAGTAAAAACAACTCAAATCAACTATAAATATTTTAAATTCTACAAATCACTTTAGACCCACAAAAAATATTTTAATTTACTCATTTATTTTATTCCATTAAAAATATTATAAGTAAAATATATATACATACCTAACTAAAACAATTCGGATCCGTTCTACCTCTCTTTCTTTATTTTCTCTCAATTTGCCTTAACCCTTGTATTGGGAATACACCATATATTCATTTTTATTCAATTGCTTAAAAACATTTAATGTATATGGAAAACAAAAAGACCTAATATATTATACATTCAATGAATCTAAAGAATTTAAAAGATAATCTTTTTTTTTATAGAAATAAGACAAGAGGAGAGAGGAGTATTCAACAATTGAGTGTTAAAATAAAAATATCTCTCTATTTTTCTTTTGTATAGCTTTTTCTTAAAATAACAAAAAAAAAACTATATTGTCACTCATAAAGCACGAGGGAAGACTGAATGACTTATAATATAGCTCAATCAAATCCTTGTGACGTTTTACTAATAGTTATCCTCATATATGTATCAAATAAATACTCATATAGTATTATTTTAATATTATAAAATTAGATTGTATATACTCTGATATTTTAAAATACTTGCCTACCATTAGTATGCTAATTAATTGACTCATTAGCTTCTAAAACATTTGCCTATGACTAATAGTTTTTTTTGGAACAATATCACTATACAGTTTGATTACACGTGGTATCACTAAAGTAATAAAGACAAAAGAGTTGGTTCAGATTTATCCATTATTTACAGTTTTTTGTTGACAGCAGTCTGAATTAATTTAAGGAAAATATATCTTTACCTTTAAATATTTTATTCAGAAAATCATATACGGCCAAAGAAAAAATTCATCTGAACAATTTTTAAATATAGAAACAGTAATATAACTTAGGTGGTTTGTCGTAGGTGAAAAAAGTTACTAAGTCTAAGTAAAAAAATGACAAATATGTTAATTCAGATATATAAAAAAAAAATTACTTGAAAAATCTACTTACATATATTCACATCACATATATATTTTTAAAATAATTAAAATATTAATATTAATACATAAATATAAATTAATAATAAAATCGGAGATTGGTGTGAAAATAACTTTCTCAAAAAGAAAACACGTTATATAGACGCATATATAGGAGATGTACGTGGTGAAAAATAATAATATATAGCAGCCACAGCTTTCAACTCGCATACAAATTGTCTTTGCCTTTGTCTATGCCATGGAAAATAAAAAATAATACTAATAGTAATATTTAATAATATTAGTAGTAATAATAATAAAATAGAAGTGTCTGCTCGACTTCCTATATAAATAGAACAAAGTGTTGTGATCTTTACGTGCTCTGCTTCTTAGTTAGAGAAGAACCTTCCACTTTCCAATAGTGAGTGTCTTCAAAAACAAAACCTTAAAGAAAAATGGGAAGAGCTCCATGCTGTGCGAAAGTTGGATTGCACAAAGGTCCATGGACTACTAAAGAAGATGCATTGCTCACAAAATATGTTCAAGCTCATGGTGAAGGCCAATGGAAATCACTTCCCAAAAAAGCTGGTAAGAAATATATTTCATGTTTATGTCATTAAATCGATGTAAGATTATATTACTGTCTGTTTACCTTGTATTTCTGTATAATTTATCAGGGCTTCTTAGATGCGGAAAAAGTTGTAGACTTAGATGGATGAATTATCTTCGACCGGATATAAAACGAGGAAACATAACTCAAGAAGAAGATGATCTTATAATAAGATTACATTCACTTCTTGGAAATAAATGGTCACTTATAGCCGGAAGATTACCGGGAAGAACAGACAACGAGATAAAGAACTACTGGAACACGCATCTTCTCAAAAAGATGCAAAGAAATGAACAAACATGTAATGTTACAGATCACGAAGAACAGCAACAACAACAACAACAACAGCGAAAAACCAAGAAAAACAATAACGTTGGTGGCAACAAAAAGAAGAAGAATAATAACAAGCAGCAAAAGAAAAACGACAAGAAAAAAGGTAGTGATGAAGAGGAAGAGAAAATTCAAGTTTATTTACCGAAAGCTATTAGGATTAAGGCTTTAACTTTACCAAGAACAGATAGTGGTTCGTTTACGTTTGAGTCAAATTCTTCGTCTGGTAGCCAAGAAAAACAAGGAGTGGAACAACAAGTGATGATAAACATAAACAAGAACGTTGTTTGCGAGGTTGGTGAGATTGGTGAAAATGACGGATTTGGGCTCTCTAGTGATGACCATGACTTGGTCAACGATATTGAATGCGAATCATATTTTGACATGTGTAATGACCGTGGAACATTAGAGAGACTATATGATGAATATTTCCAACTCTTGAACGTCGATGGTATTTGCAATTTTGAGTTTGATTCTTTTGCTGAATCAATCTTTGATTGAAATAATAATAATAATAATATTAATAATAAGTGTATATTGTAATAAAAATATTGATAATAAATGTATATTGCTATGTTCTCACTCATCATGGTATTATAATTTTCATGAATTATATTATTATCATGTAGTAATATTATATATGTATTTTTCTTGATTTTGTATATCATCTAGCTACGTAGTGATTCTCAAAAATGTATGCATGTTAAAAGATATTAAACATTAGAAAATAAAAATAGAGATCTCAATCTTGTTAACATTCTATAGGAATTTAACTTAACTTTTATGAATAATTAAGAAAGGAAAAAGTTCAAATATTTTTCTGTCACAATTACTGAGGTAGAGATGTGTCAAATTATGGTTAAAATAGATTTTTGGTGAAGTGAAGAGAAACAGAAAAAAATATTTATTTTTTTGTATAAAGGAAAAATATTTCTATTTTATCATTATATGATATCGTTAAGGGTAGCAAACGGGGCATTATCCATCTTGTTTAAATTTGTTTTGTAAAAAATCTATAAAAAATATGACAGAGTGAGATGGATAAAATTGAGGATGCAAGCTTATAATATCGATTTACACAACAAAAAAAAGGTGAGACAGATATGTATATATTATATCTTTTAAATTTAAAAATGTCAAAATTTATGTTAATGCTCACATATGTGAACGCTAAAAAAAAAAGTTAGAGAAAACAAACATATTAGAGAATGCGGATCTAAAATTTTAATCTATAAAAAAAAATGTCCAACATGTCGGCCCTATTTTACCACCCTTAATTACGGCTGTATAATGAACTTTACAAATTTTAAAGAGGTGAGTAGTTTTTTTTTCACGGATAAGTATGATAACAAGTCGCACTACAAGAAAAAATGTATATAGCTAGGGGTTAAACCCCTCACTAAAGCAAAAAAAATCCATCACAAAACACCAATTTGTAAGGGGACAGGGCCCCTAGCTAATCAGGGCATCGCAAATTATTGGCTAGGGAATAAGTCCCCTGCAAATTTGGCTAGGGGATAAGCCCCTCGCAAAATATCTTGGAAAAAAATCAGACTGTTGCCACTACTACAATAATGACTTTTAGCAGCGCATTAAAAGACAGCGCTTTCTGAAAAAGCGCGGCTAAAGAGTCATGAAAAAAAAAGAACAAAATAGCATATCTAAGACAACGCTTGTTAAAAAAGGCTGCTAAAGGGGGGGGGGGGGGTCTAAGAAAGCGTTTTAAAAAAGCGCTACTAAAGGGGGGGGGGGGGGGGGGGGGTCTAAGAAAGCGCTTTAAAAAAGCGCTGCTAAAGGGGGGGGGGGGGGGGGGGTCCTAAAGCAGACCTATAGCAGCGCTTTCTAAAAGCGCTGCTATAGGTTTAAGTAGCATAAATTTAAAAAATTTCAGTATTTTCGCAGAATCAGAACAGTCTCCTTCTTTCTTCTTTTCCACTCACGAACGTTGCCTTATTCACCGTCGACACATTCCGTCCGTGCCTTCGTCTGACAGCCTCCGTCCGTCGCCTTTCCTTCGGTCATTCTGTCGTCACTTTATTCCGCCGTCGTCCATCCATTTTTTACGGTCATCTCCGTCCTCCACCAGTGCATTTCCACCATTTTTAAGGTATTTGAAGTTTTTCATTTTCCATTTTTATTATTCTCATAGTTGAATGCATTATTGGAGTTTAATGATGTAGTATGTTTGATAACCATGAACATGAATTAAGTAATTTGTTATAGAAGCTGCAGTTTCAGGAAATTGTTTTGTAATAAGAAGTTTAGCAGCTCTATATTCAAATAAAAACAGCATAAGAGTATACCAAATAATGCTTTGCAGAACAACGATTTGCACCATGAAATTTCCTGAGAAATCACCATACATAGTTGTTAAAAGAGGGATTCTCATAACAAGTGTGTTAAGTGTTGAAAGTGAGAAAAGTGTGATAGTCCAATCAAGACTATCTTGGTTTTTTGTGAACATGTTCCATATGCTAATATCATAGCAACATATAACGATACAATGGCGAAGAAAACATCGTACGTATCCTTACTGGTAATCATGATCATAGATAGATCAAGGTGGATTAGAAACACACAAAAAGGAAGTTTGTGAACGGTTCAAATATGTATTGCTAGAAGTTGACACATTAATGAGATTTATAAAGGAGATAGTAATAAATTAAAGGTGAAAAAGTTTACAATAAAATATAGAAAGGAGAAGGTTGGAATTTCTATGAAATTATGTATATGTTTTTCTTATTTATACATTTCTTATGTATATATTTCTTATTTACATATTTGCATGTCATTCATTTGATACTTTGGTTTTTCCGAATTACAGGTATTATGGCCACCAACGAGGAAACATCACATGATGGAAACGAAACAACAAAAGACGTGGAAGGCGATATCAAAAGAGGAATAACGATTATGAATAAAATCATCTGTGCGAGAGATAAAGGTGTAAAGTATGATGTGCATTGGAATGAAAGAGATCAATTAGTTGAGTCTAACGGTGTGATGCTGACAAGTTACATTGGAGCACTTGTACGTTTGCAAATTCTGATTACTTGCGATAATTGGAGAATTCCTTCGTTACAATCGGCTAAAGACAAAATTTGGAGCGAGATACAGGTATGATATTTGATTTTTTTTTAATTATGTTGAAGGTTACATCTTTAAATTAATTATACTAACATGTTGTTGCGGTGGAAATAGGATATCAAATTATTAATTAATTTGACTCACAACTTAGTTCACAACCACTCTTTGATTTATCCGAAGGAAAACGTCAAAAGAGGAAAAACCTAATTTTGCATGTAAACACAATGCGGGGAGAGATCTAGGTAAGGAGTTGGTTAAGCTTAGGGAAGGTATTAGCATCCTAAACTTTTGTAGTACTCTACAGGAACCTTTTGCTCATTGTACTATTTTGCTTTATCATTTGCTTTAGGGTATATGTGCTAAGGGTTGAGAATGACATAAAGACCTAAGGGTTAGTCCTAAGTTTACTCGCCAAGATTCGCATCTTGTGCCTACGTATCCTGGGTAGGGAATGGAATCAGAGTAATCGTAGTTCCCCTCGAAAGGGGGGTTAGAAACGTCTTGATTATGGTCAAGGTTTCAATGGGGAGTAAACGTATCTTAAGGACACGCTTACGTGGAGTGCGGAGACTCTGATCTCTACGTTGAAATGGTTAATTAAAACTAGGGTTGAAATTAGGGATTCCTCGGCGGGAAACCCTAAAACAGAGTACGGCGACTTTTAACCTAAAGCTAGGGTAAAGGGCGTTTTTGTCCACGGTGGGACGCCTAAGCGATTAGGGTTTGAAAACGTCAAAGGTTAGGGTTATTAATTGGCGGTCAAATAGCTAGACCTAATCCTTCGGAAGGGATTCTAACGGCAAATCATGCAAGATATAGCAAATTATTATACGGCAGAAATAAAGTATGGAAAATAATGAAAGCGGTAAAGAAAGGATCGCGATGATCACTCGCGTAAATTACAAATCCCCAAAATGCAAAAAATAAAACTAACCGCGATCATGGCCTCGCATAAATTACATCCATAAAAAAACTAAGGAAACTAAAAGGATTACTAGTCAAATCCAAACGAGAGACGATGAAAGTTAGATGAACAGTTAACAGGAACGGTTAGGAGGTTTTTATTTTTTTTGAATTTTTATTTAAAAACAATTAATTACAATTTATTAAAAACTTTAATTTAAATTAGAAATCTAAATATATTTTTTTTAATTACAATTAACTATATATAAAAAAAAGTTACTAACTATTAATTATAAAAAAAAAATTACTAACTATAAGTTAAAAAAAAGAATTACTAACTATAAGTTTAAAAAAAGAATTACTAACTATAAGTTATGAAACTTTTTACTAACTATAAGCTATTAAAAAATGTTTTTAATTATTAGTTATTTAAAAAATAAATTAATTATAAGTTATAAAAGTTAATTAAATCATAAATTATAAAATTTAACATTTAATTACAGAGAGAAAAAAAATAAAAGAAAAAGAAAATCGAATAATAAAAAGGGGAGGGCGGTATTCATGGAGAATAAAAAGGGGAGGGCGGTATTCATGGAGACAACTTTTAGGTTTTGTTCCAAATCACTCTTCTTCTTCCTAAACGGCGGCGGCTCCCACGGTCATTGGTGATTTTCGAAGCCTTTCCCTTCCTTCTTCTTTGCATGTTATCCCTCCCTCTTTGTCTTGCTGAAACCTGAAACCCAGGAATTCCGTTATTTACAAAATTAAATGCTCAACTCGTTAGCGGTTGGGATTTGTTGATGATGGTTGGGATTTGTTGATGATGATGCTTAATGAAGGAAGGTGATGACGATTCTTGTTGATCTTCTGAACCTTCTCTTCTTCAAAACTCCTCCTCAGCTCTTTCGGTCTCTTTTCCTTTTCTTCTTCCTTCCCCTTTTCTCAAATGCAACTCATGTTTATATAGGTAACAAATTAGGGTTAACTCTAACCTAATGCCCATTTTAAAGCCCAACTTAAATAATTAGTCAAAACTAAATAAAATTTAAACTTTTTTTGTTATTTATTTTATGAAAATAGAAAAGTTAGAATAAAAATATAAGAAAAAATAAAAAGTGAAGAAGGTGGGATTCGAACTCTCGACCTCTCACACTCACAACTCCTTAAACACGATCTCTTGTCAATTGTGCCATTTTATTCATTCAAAATAAAGTGGCACTAGAAACCATGTAAAGGTAGGACAAATTTAAGGTGCAACACATGTTATATGTATGTGTATTTGTTTGCAGAGATCTTTTAATATTGATGATCGCAGGAGAAAATATTGTCTTCAATTGGCCGGAAAATGACTAAGGGGATTTAGAGCGTTTTTAACGAACAAGTTTCTTAAAGATTCTGATGGAAACTTTGTCGTCTCGGAGCGTTCAAATAAGTACGCTGATATGATTTCAGATGAAGAATGGGAGACATCTGTTGCCAAGCGAAGAACCAAAGAATTTTGCGTAAGTACA